CTTACGCTATCAGTTAAAGCTAAACTCTTTAACTATTTATTTACTTATTTATTATTGATTATGCTATTACAGTTGTCCCATTTCCCACCCCCCCTCCTTTATTCCCCTCTGCACACCCTCTCCCACCCACATTCCCCCCTTTAGGTCATGTCCATTGGTCATACATATAAGTTCTTTGGCTTCTACATTTTCTATACTATTCTTAACCGCCCCCTGTCTACTTTCTACTACCAATTATGCTACTTAATCTCTGCACCTTATCCCCCTCTCTCCCCCTCCCACTCCCCTATTGATAACCCTCCATGTGATCTCCATTTCTGTGGTTCTGTTCCTGTTCTAGCTGTTGGCTTAGTTTGCTTTTGTTTTTGTTTTAGGTGTGATTGCTAATAGCTGGAGTTTGCAATTATTTTACTGTTCATATTTTTTTATCTTCTTTTTCTTAAATAAGTCCCTTTAACATTTCATTTAAGGGCTTGGTGATGATGAACTCCTTTAACTTGACCTTATCTGAGAAGCACTTTATCTGCTCTTCCATTCTAAATGATAGCTTTGCTAGATAGAGTAATCTTAGATGTAGGTCACTGCCTTTCATGACTCTGAATACTTCTTTCCAGCCCCTTCTTGCATGTAAGGTCTCTTTTGAGAAATCAGCTGACAGTCTTACAGGAACTCCTTTGTAGGTAACTGTCTTCTTTTTTCTTGCTGCTTCTAAGATTCTCTCCTTATTTTTAATCTCATAATATAATTATGATGTGCCTTGGCGTGTTCCTCCTTGGGTTCAACTTCTTTAGGACTCTCTGAACTTCCTGGACTTCCTGGAAGTCTATTTCCTTTGCTAGATTGGGGAAGTTCCCCTTCATTATTTGTTCAGATAAGTTTTCAATTTGTTGCTCTTCCTCTTCTCCTTCTGACACCCATATAATTAGGATGTTTAAAATTGTCCTGGAGGCTCCTAAGCTTCTCCTCATTTTTTTGAATTCTTGTCTCTTCATTCTTTTCTGATTGGATGTTTCTTTCTTTCTTCTGGTCCACACTGTTGATTAGAGTTCCAGTTTCCTTCCCATCACTATTGGTTCCCTGTATATTTTCCTTTATTTCACTTAGCATTGCCTTCATTTTTTTCATCTAATTTGCAACCAAATTCAACCAATCCTATGAGCATCCTGATTACCAGTGTTTTGAACTGTGCATCTGATAGGTTGGCTATCTCTTAATCACTTAGTTGTATTTTTTCCAGTGCTTTGATCTGTTCTTTCATATGGGCCATTTTTTGGGGGGGTCTTGTTCCACCTGTTACATATAACAGGTGAAGCCTTAGGTGTTCACCAGGGCGGGGCAACCCAGTTGCTGGGTTGTGACACTGTATGTGGGAAAGGGGTTGAGAGGGAACAGTGCTGCTTGCTCCGCTCTCTGCCAGATCTCAGTCACTTTCTGCACTACCCACAATCAAATTGGGCCCTTCTGGTGCTGGTTCCAGGGTGGGTGGGCTTGTGTAGGTTCTAGGACCCTGTGGGTCTCTGCAATGAACTCTCCTGTGAGGCTGGGAGTCTCTCCTGGTACCTCAACCCCACGGGTGTTTTCAATCTGTGGTGTGAGGCTTTGTTTCTCCACGGTAGGACCCTGGGTTTCGTGGTCTGTCTTGCTCCCCAGTTGTTCCTCCCAGTTTGTCCACAAGTGAATGTGGGACTGCCTGCTTCCACGTGCGGGAGCCTTGCCAGTCCCCAGCTGCAGCCTTGCCCACCCTGGTCCTCCACCGCCGCTTTGCCGTGAGTCCTCTCTGCCTGGCTGCCCATCTCTGCCACTCCTACTGGTCTGGATGGATATTTCTCCTTTAAACCCTTGGTTGTCAGACTTCCATACAGTTCGATTTTCTGTCAGTTATGGTTGTTTTTTATTTTTAAATTGTTGTCCTTCTTTTGTTTGTGCGAGGAGGCACAGTGTATCTACCTACGCCTCCATCTTGGCCAGCAGTCCTAAACTCTCTCACTCTTTAGTTACAGCACTAATCACCTAAACCTATTAATTATGGCTAAACTCTAACACCCGAATTCTCCTATCATTTTCCCCATTAGTCTGCAGGGTTCGTTTACAAACTAAAGCAACCTAAGATACAAAAGCTACACAATTTTGGAAGCACAGCAGGCTTCTGCCTCAGAGGTCATCTTCTCTAGAACACCCCCAGAAGAATAACTCTGCCACCCTCTGCCAGGCCAGCTGGACCCTAGGCTTTGCCCGGAGTTTCTTCCCACCCCAAATTCCACACATTGGGAAGTGCAGGCAGCTGCAGCACGATCATCCAGGCATCCTCAAGGAAGAAGAGAGCCCAGAGACGAAGAGAACCCGCACCCACCCAGCTGAGAGCCCTTCTTTTATTTCAAATCTTCTTGCTCATAATTCCACACACTCCAGAGGCATTCAGCTTCTCAGCCAGTCCTGTCCTAGACTGTTCACAGTTGCCTCTGCAGACTCCTCCTATGAATCCTCCCTACTTCTCCCCAATGATCTGATCAACTCTCTCTGTATCAGGAATGTGTATGGGTACTACAGAGTATTATACCAAGGACCACAGAGAGACAAAATTCTTTCTTCCCTCCTTCGGCAATGTGAAGCCATGCCAGAACATGCATCCAAGGTCAGAGTGTCTCACTTGTGGTAAATAGAAGACAAAGCATTCTGGCTTTGATTTTTATTAAACCAACATAAAAAGGGCTTGAGATTGGCTCTCTGAAACCCAAACAATTACCACTGGGAGCTATGACATTTTCTGGAAATGGAGTGTCCTGTGTTTTTGATGAAATTCTAAAGAATTGCGAAATAGGAGAGCATAATGAATGGTTTTACCTCCTGCCCAGCTTTTATGGTGAGGAGGTTGCAAGGGATTTGGCAAAACTCTAAAAACAATGGAACTTAAAGAGGACTTCACACTTGTCCAAATGACTTTAAAAACATTAATATATTTAAAACGTGTATGAGATAGATAGATAGATAGATAGATAGACAGACAGACAGACAGACAGATGGAGATGCAGAGAGTAAGCCAGGCACACTAAATCATTTCCAGAGTTGAAGTTCATGTGCCCAAAGGAACCTAAGGAGACAAGAATGACAGTACTGGGTCAAGTCCACTGTCTCTCTGTATTACTAATGTTTGGAGGTGAATGAACAGCTGTAGGAGAAATCACTTGTCTTCTTGGGTGTCATTATCAAAGGCCAAAGGCCTTTCCACAACACATTTCCTGGAAGAATGCACATACTCACATATACCTGAATTTTTGCATAAAATTTGAGGGGCTTTAAAATTCCTCAGAGCCCATGGATGATATCCTAATGTTCATGGATCCCAGGATAAAAAAAAAACCCAAATGGTAACTCTTTGAGAATGGTAACTCTTATGGAGAATTTACATTTTCCATACTTGACAAACTACTTTGTAATATTGAACTTGCTAAACTTTCCTACATCACATCACATTTTCTCATTACCTTAAACGGGCATTGGTATTTTTAACTCTTGACTTGATCCACTTTAGCTTCCATGTTTTCAGACCAGAGCAGACAAAAAGTCAAGGCACTGGATCTTAGCATCCTCCAGGTTGTCTGCAGTGCATCCGAAATGGGATGACGGCCTCCCCTGTGCAATTTCCCTCCGCAAGTGGTCCAGGCACCCACATCCTCTGGACTCCTCCAAACAGATATAATTTATATACAGTAAAACTCACCTGTTTTAGGGATGCAGCTCTGTATGTGTTGACAAATGTATTAAGTTGTGTAACCACCACCCAAATCAAGATGCAAAACAGTCCCTCTGCTCCGAAAAGGTCCCTTGAGCCCCTGAGCACTCACCCCTCTCCCCTAGGCCCAGACCCTGGGAATGACTGAGCTGATTTTGGTCCTTATGGTTCTGCTGCCCCTCGCCCCAAGCCTGATAAATGAAATCTTACAGAATGTACCCTATAGGGCCAGATTCTTTGTCTTAGCATGCTTTTAAGAATCATTCAAATTGTGTTAAATAATATAGCAAAATTTGTTTAGCCAGTCACCAGTTGATGGGCATTTTAGTTATTTCCTGTTTTGGCTTTTTTTCCTCCCCTTCCCCCCCCCCCCCCCATTAGCTTTTTGCTTTTTTGTGGAGTAGGGAATGGAACAGAAAATGAGAGTCTTTCACCATCTGACTCTCAGGAACTTGCACCAGTGCTGTCCAGGAGCCCCAGCTGCACTGAATGAAGCAGCTGTTCATTTCGCACTTGGGTGTGTTCTTTACATTTACTTTTCTACAAATCGGGGCCCAAACGTTCCACTGGTAGACCAGATCCAGATGAAATAACTCATATGGCCAGCCTGTGTACCTTGAAGGTGTTAGCCTCCCTTCTCCAGGTGTGGGTCATGGACCATCAGCCTCCAAATCACCTACAAGTTTGTTAGCAAGGCTCCACCCCAGACTGACGGAATCAGAGTCAGCCTTTAACATGATGCCCAGGTGTTTCGTCGGATGCGTATTAAATTTTGAGAAGCACGGGTCATATTTCACTTTCCCTATTAAAAACAAAAAAGAAACCTAAACAGTTTCTCAGAGTATTCGGCTCTTCCTTCCAACTTTTTCTTTCCCTCTCTGGAGTACAGTAAGCCCATTTTATAGTTGAATAAAGAACACTATTTTGGGTTCGGGGAGGGTGAGCGCCGCATCCTCAGAGGATGGAAGAACAGAGAGAAAAGGAAAGGGGAGAAAGAGAAGGCAGAGAACAGAGCCCGGGCAGTTAGATTCTCGCAGCCAGAGTGAGTGGGCGGCGAGAGGCCAAAAGGGCCGGACCCTCCGCTGCCCCCTCGGCGGCCTCCTGGAGTCGGGACAACCGCGCTGGTAGGCGGACCACGGAGCGCAGCGAGGTCGCTTGCAAAAGTTCAAGCCGGGCTGGGCAGAGCCTGCGGGGCCGAAGCGGGCGGGGCGGAGGGTGGAGGGACAGCTGGGGGGCGGGGCCGGCGCGGCGAGGGGCGGGGTCAGCGCCAAGGCCGCGGGGGCAGCGACTGCGCCGGGTTGCGGGAGCGGCGGCCGTGCCATGTGGCTGCTGGGGCCGCTGTGCCTGCTGCTGGGCAGCGCGGCTGGTGAGTCGGGGGGCGTCCGGCGAACTTCCTGCGGGGTGCTGGGCGCGGCGGCCGGGCTACCATAGCGCCCCCTCCCCGCGCCTGGGCTGCGTCTCCTGGCGCGGGTGTGCAGGGAGGGCGGACCCCGGCGCCGGGCTGGCCGGGACCCGGGCGAGGGGCCGCGGCGGGGTGCGCGCGGTCCTATTGTGTGGGCGTGCGCGCCGGCTTCTGCTGTGTGGTGTGTATGCGCGGGCGGGGCTTTGTGTGCAGCCCGGCTCTGGGGAGTCCGGCAACTGCCCCGATTGGGCGTAGCTCGAGTGAGTCTGTGTGTTGTGTGTGTTGGGGAAAAGCGGAGAGGAAAGGAGAGAACTCTTCCCTAATCCCATTTTCCCATATGCCCGGGTACTCGGAGCTGGCTAGCCTCCCCAGACGTTCTTCCCTGGTCTCTTTCGTACACCTCCGGGCCTCAGTTTCCCATCCTCGATCGCTGGGCGAGCTGTATCGCCGCTTCCTTCCACTCCTCCCTGGACTGTGTTTGGTTTGGGCAAAGAGATGAAGCAAGGCTGGGCCTGGGAATTAATAATCTTCCCTACTGGTTCTGGGATCAGATCATTTATTTGTCATCTGACCATCCTCACTCGCCCTTCAATGGGCGCCCTGATTGGCGAGGTGCCCTAGGAGAGGACCCGGGCTTCGTCTGGAGGGCTTTTGAATCTGGCATCACCGTAGTGAGTGCATCCTGAGGTGCAGAGGAGCAGCAAGCGTCTTTTCCTCCCAGACAGCGTGCTGTTCCCAGGAACTTTTCTGCTGATGTGGGCACGCTCCGAATTGCAGTCCGGGAGCCCTTCCTCCCCTGTCCCTGCCCGCCGCCACAGCTGTCAGCTGCCCCTCCTCGCCTCCACTCGCCTTTGGCCCCCTGATGTTTATTTCTGGGCAGCTGATGCCCAGAAAGTGGGTGACAGGCCCAGTGAACTTTCTTCAGCAGCAGCTTGCTTGCCTGACATTTGTGGCATCCACATATGTAATTTATGCCTGATTTCCCACAGTGCTTCTAGCTATGTGCTGTGGAGGTGTCTTTTTGGTGGTGTGTCTGTAGGGGAAGTTGAGGCTCATTTCATTTTGACCCCTGCCCCTCCCCCCAGGAGCGTGCTGAGAGAAATCTCCCTTCTTCATTGAAGTTCAGGTCCTGGCCACTGGGCAACCTTTTCAAAGCCCCTCCCCACTCCTCACAGACTCTCTTTAGATATCTGTGAGTTTGTTGTGGCTTCCAGTGAGGGTGGAATGCTGGTGGCTGCTATGGATTTTTAACCAGGTCTGGGTCAGAGTGCCCTGTTTCTCTTGAACTATTGGGCCATCCCAGGGAGGGAGTTCCAAGGGGGCATTGGCAGCCACTTGTTGACATGAATGATTATTTGGAAGCAGAGCAGGCAGACTTCCTGGGCATCTGAGACATAAAGATTCACCTAGATTCACGTTCTCAATTTGCATAACCATGGTGTGTCCCATGGTAACGCCCAAGTAGGACAGCCTGGAAGCCTGTGTGTGTGTGTGTGTGTGTGTGTGTGAGCTGCTTGTGGCTCAGTGGAAACTATTTTTTGCATCTCCCAGTTGGTCCTGGTTGCTTTGATTGAGTCCCCATCTCCATAAAAATAGCTATAAAGTTAATTTTGTTCTTCTCTTGTTCAGTATTGGCTACTTAACACATGTGTACATATAAAATAGGGCTAAAATAAATAGAATGGTCAGAGTGGGGTGGGGTCACAGGACTGCCTAACTGTCCCAGGTGGTGTTTTTCCATTATCCATGGTCATTGAGCCTGTGTGGCTTTGAGGCACCTCTAGAGCTGCTGGTTTATAACCCTCTAGGCAGGTGTGGGTGTGTCCGTATTTCATGTTGCATTAAGCATCTCTTCCTAGCACAGATTTCTCCTTGACCTGACGCGAAGTGTTACGAGAAGCAGGGCTGGCCATTTTTCCTGATGCTGGCCTGGTGTCCTGAGCTGCCCGCCTGTAGAGAAGCCCGTGTGGTTCAGTTTGGGGTCCATCGCAGGACCAGAGACCCTGCCATTGTATCCCACCTCCTACATCTTGATCCTCTTCTGGGAAGTTGATGAAACGAGAGATTGTTTAAGCCAGTACCACAGATTTGTTTGTCTCTTTGATAGTCTCTGAAGAAACCTGGGGTCAAAGTGGAGGCTGAGTCAGAGTTCCCTGTCTTTGTGGGGCTTCAAGGCCATGGGCATTCCAAGAACAGTTTGGCAGCCTTTGTTATTCAGGAACCATCTCAGACACCTTCATTTTTTTTCTTCCTTTGTTTTTATTGCTTGTGTTAGGGAAGTGAAGCATTGATTTTTGGCTGCTATTATTTTTTAATGTATCCTGTGAGAAAGACTCTGCCCATACAATGTCCAGTTTCTCTTCACACAGTGGTCTGGGTGGGTTTAAGTGCTCTGAAAGTAGACATGTGTAAATGGTGGTCAGTCTTCTTACCTCCTCCCAGGCTGACCTTTGATTAGATTCCTTGACATTCTCTTCCTGTCAGTGAAAAGGCTCAAGGTTCCCCCATATGTACTCCCAGGAGTATGGCTATTGACCTTTTTTTCCTGGAAAGATCTGCTTAATGGTGTCAGCAGGTGGATTTCATTATTAATTTTTACTAGCATAGTAGCTTGGTGCAGCCCAGCCCAGGTAGGTGAGACTGTGCACTGAAGTACAAATAAACACACCTCGTTGCTTTTCATCTTCAAAGAGCTGAGCAGAAGCCTCCCTCCTGGGGTGTGGGGTGTTTTTTCCTGACAGCCCACTTAGGCCATTTACTTTGGGATTAGTGGGGGAAGGACAGGGGTGTGAGTAGGAAAGGGCAGGAAGGTAATGTCTGCGCCTCCGAGACTGGTTCAGACACTTTCTGGCCAAAGTCTCCAGAGTAACTTGAAAGTGGGTTTGTATCATCACCTTCGTAAAACAGTTGAGAGAATTTTGGGATTAGGAAAGTTAATAGATAAATAATCTCATATTACAGATGTGCTCTTTTTACCACCTTGCATGTTTGCATATTGAGGGGAGGACAGAGAACCTGGTATTTGTGGAAGGAATATCTTTGCGTGAGCCTCTTTGCTTGCCACTTTAAACACGTATCTTGCTGAATTTTTCCAATGCTATGGTATGGCAGGAAGTTATTTTATGGTTTGTGAGACAGCATCGTTACCCAGAATGAGGGAGGAAGGACGGGAGCTTGGATTCCAACCCGTTTCTCTTGGCTCTCCACCTGGGTGTTCCCAGTTTCCAGGCCTGGCGCTTCCATACCTTCCTTCCCACGGCTTCTGTGCGTTAGCAGCCAATGAGGTTACTTCCAGAGATACCCCCTTCCCAAATCTGTTCACGCCGTGGTCACTGCTCCGAATTTAGCAGTCACTGTTTTTGGTAAATACATAAAGTAAATCTCAATCCTTAAGGAATCTCATTTCAAAATAGCACTGATCTTCTTGCTGTGTGCAAGGCGGGGAAGATGGCAGGAAGATACCCCGGGCCGCCACCGTGAGATTTCTTGACCCGAGCTGTAGGGGGTTCGCTGTTGTTCATTAAGCTGTGTCTTTATATTTCCCCCTTTTCTTACACGTTATTGGATCTTACAGTTGACAAAAGATAACTGCATGCCGTGCAAGCAAGTTGGAGTGATGGAACTGTTTGTAGCTGGGAGATAGTCTCGGGGACAAATCTGTTTCTGGTTGTAGAGTTTTCCTTGTTTGTTCTCTTTGCCTCTTTCTTTCTCCTTTTGGAGTATTTTGGAAAGGCTTGGGTCATCCAAACTCGTGCAGCTTTTCTACCAGTGACACCCTGGGGGCACTTTTAAGTTGGCTGCTTCATCATGCGGGCGTACGTACGTACGTACGTACGTACGTGCGTACGTGCATGCGTGCGTATGCGTGTAAGTTCCCTTCTTTTCATGGCAATTGTCGTAAAAGAATTTACTCTCTTGGGTCCCGAGGAATGCCCTTAAAAATGTTTGGTGGGAGAGCATGTGGGTACTTTGCAGATGTTGCATTTGCTTGTCACATCATTTGCCTGCTGTGTAACGATGCTCACCGGGGTAAGTAGGATTTTGTGGCAGGGTCGCTGCGCAGCCCAAGGGATGGCAGATACTTCAGGCAGGGTCGTTAGGGTTTCTGGAGCTGATGGCGTGGATGGGGTTAGTCTCAGTTTCGGTGCTGTTGACATTTTGGGCTGCCTAGTTCTTTGTTGGGGGAGGAGCGAGGTGTCCTGCCATTGTAGACTATGTAGCAGCATCTCTGGGTCTAGATGCCGGTACCACTCCCCCAAACCCTCCCACCAGCAGTTGTCACAGCCATACCGGTCATTACCAAATGCCCTCTGGGGGCAAAGTCACTTCGTTGAGAACCCCAGTTGAGAACCTCGGCCTAGTCGAGCAGGCCTGCCCGCCATACCTCTTGAACATTGTTACTCCTCATCCTAAAAATGTGTTCTGGATGCAGTGGGTCAGGGGGTCATCCTCCTCCCGAGGGGTCTTTTAGTCATCAGGTTCCCCGCAAGTTCCATGTGAAGACCCATTCTTAGCTACAAATGTGTCAGTACTGACCTTTTCCCTCCCACTTTCCCTTGTGGCATCGTGCAAACTTCTGGGGTTTTAAGATTGTATTTTTCTTTGGTTTTCTTGGGAAAGACTTGCTGAGAAAGCAGCAGGTAAAGGGCAGGTGGCACCTGACACCAAGAGCCACCTGGTTCCCTGAATGTTGAACTTGGGAGGTTCACTGGCCCTGGGAGGGAAGGGAGAAGCTGCCTCAAAGTTTGCCTTGGGAGTCATGTGTTGAAATCCTAGCCCTGGAAGTCCCTCTTCCTCCTCTCTACAGAGCCCTTATTGTTCTTTTCAGTTCCCCTTACCCTCCCAGAATTCCGTTTCCCTTCCCATCAAAGGTCTTTACAACTTGAGTCAGTTCTGCAGGTGGTGGAGAAAATCATCTGTACTAATAGTAAGTGGGTTTTGGAGAAATTTTTGTCTTCGAATTT